CCCCCCATTTGTCTTCACCTGGTGATCTGTCCAGTAACACACTTTCTGTATGAGAGCGCCCCCTCTCTGGATGAAGGAGCAAAAGGAGACGCCTTGGAATAGCAGCCTTGTCCATTTGGTGGAGAGGGGAGTGTAGACGTACTAGCAGATTTAGGTACACTAACATTTTGAAGCTGAGCTCCATCTAATTAGCAGTTACAGCAACAATTGTGTTCCCTTTGGGATTAAGGTTTTACATAAAAGCTTATTATTATAAGTCAGTGTAAATGGTTTGTCTCAACCCACTAACTGCTACATTTGCAGGACTTGTTCTGTTGAAAAATAACAGATGTACTGGCTGAATCGCCAGTGAAAATAGAAGAAAGCAAGCCTAAAATAGAAAACTAATGCAGCCGTCCCATCTAAATATTGCTAAGTTGCAATAAAACGTTTGCTTTTGGGTTTAATGCTGCTTTAAGCTACTGAGGTAGGACTGAATCTGGTTGATGTCTGTAGGAAACTTCTTAGTGCTGACACTGATTAGGTTTTCTGTATGTGGAGACAGCAAGGAACCATTGGTGTGTTTGGGAATAGCACTCGAGCTCTCAATGGGGTTCTCAGATTATTGCCAAAAAGCAGTGGGGTGGGATGGTGCACTACAGCAATGCTTGCATTAAAAAGACGCTAAGTACTGAGCAGATTCTCTGTGATCTCTGGGTGAATTTCAAAGCTTATATATCAAATTAGTCTGGAGTGTAACTTTTTAATGAGTTTACTTTAGGTGGAACTACGTTGCATCTAAAAAAGACAAGATTTACACTCCGATACAGTGTAGTTTCACTTAAAATAATAAAAAAATAAAAAATAAAATTTTATAGGTTCCACAAAGCCTATTCCAGCTTTATCTATTTTAACTACCTTAATGCATATTCGTTGTCTCAGTGAAGGCCCATTCACACTACATAGTTACATAGTCTGGCTGAAAAAAGACAAAATCCAGTTCAACCAAAAAAAAAAAAAAGTTATAATCCTACACCCACAGTTGATCCAGAGGAAGGTTAAAAAACCCAGCAAAGCATGTTCCAATTAGCTCCTGCAGGAGAAAAGAATCCTTCCTGATCCCCCGAGAGGCAATCGGAAATTCCCTGGATCAACTTTACTTATAAATGTTAGTATCTAGTTATATTCTGTGTATCCAAGAAAGAATCCAGGACTTTTTTTTTTTTAAAGCAATCCACTGAGCTGGCCAGAACCAACTCTTGAGGGAGTCATTTTCACAGCTCTTACTGTGAAGAAACCTTTCCGTGTTTGGAGATTTAAATTGCTTTTCCTCCAGATGTAAAGAGCGCCCCCTTGTCCTCTGTGATGACCTCAGGGTGAATAACTCTACATTGAGTTCACTATATGAACCACTGATGTATTTATACATGGAGATCATATCCCCCCTTATGTATTATACATGGAGATCATATCCCCCCCCTTATGTATTATACATGGAGATCATATCCCCCCCCTTATGTATTATACATGGAGATCATATCCCCCCTTATGTATTATACATGGAGATCACATCCCCCCCCCTTATGTATTATATATGGAGATCACATCCCCCTCTTATGTATTATATATGGAGATCATATCCCCTCTTATGTATTATATATGGAGATCACATCCCCCCCCTATGTATTATATATGGAGATCATATCCCCCCCCTATGTATTATATATGGAGATCACATCCCCCCCTTATGTATTATATATGGAGATCATATCCCCCCCCCTATGTATTATACATGGAGATCATATCCCCCCCCCTCTATGTATTATACATGGAGATCATATCCCCCCCCCCCCCTATGTATTATACATGGAGATCATATCCCCCCCCTATGTATTATACATGGAGATCATATCCCCCCCCCTATGTATTATACATGGAGATCATATCCCCCCCCGATGTATTATACATGGAGATCATATCCCCCCCCGATGTATTATACATGGAGATCATATCCCCCCTTATGTATTATACATGGAGATCATATCCCCCCTTATATATTATACATGGAGATCATATCCCCCCTTATGTATTATGTATGGTGATCATATCCCCCCCTTATGTATTATACATGGAGATCATATCCCCCCTTATGTATTATACATGGAGATCATATCCCCCCCTTATGTATTATACATGGAGATCATACCCCCCCTATGTATTATACATGGAGATCATACCCCCCCTATGTATTGTACATGGAGATCATATCCCCCCTGATGTATTATACATGGAGATCACATCCCCCTCATGTATTGTACATGGAGATCATATCCCCCCCCCCCTTATGTATTGTACATGGTGATCATATCCCCCCCCCCTTATGTATTGTACATGGTGATCATATCCCCCCCCCCCCCTATGTATTATACATGGTGATCATATCCCCCCCCCCCCTTATGTATTATACATGGTGATCATATCCCCCCCCCCCTTATGTATTATATATGGTGATCATATCCCCCCCCCCCCTTATGTATTATACATGGAGATCATATCCCCCCCCCCCCCTTATGTATTATATATGGTGATCATATCCCCCCCCCCCCTTATGTATTATACATGGAGATCATATCAGTTCAGTAACACTTGTACATTGCAACACAGCACAGTGCATCTGAACCATGGTGTCTGTGTGTTGCCCTGTACTGTCAAAAGATGTAGCTTGCTCCAGTTTTGTGTGCTTTTTCTGCCCGTTTATTGTAAATGCCACACTACACATGTCAAGAGGTGTATTGTAGAGTTCATCATTGTGGTGTGACATGGCCTGGTGTTCACTGATCTGTTCAGCCATGCCGAATAGAAAGTCATTTTGAAGTAAAATCTCCTAATCAGATTTTTCAGGTCCATGCTTTAGAGTACCAAGCTATTGGACCAACGAAATGGCCAAACTAGAATTCCAGGAGAGGACAGGAAGATTCTGGATTTCATTCATACAGGTTTCCTTCAATGGAATGTCATGCAATTATATTAACTTCCCTATTTTCTTCATTTCCTGAGTGGAGTCTTGTTTTCTTTTCCAGGTTTTCTTTACATAATCTGATTGCCACGTTTGTATAAAGATGCCAGAATTTCTCGATACAGGTAAGTCGTCCTTTTGCACTTATTAAGGGTCTGTATGGTGTAAAAATAATTAAAAATTATATAATATATAAAAAAAAAAATTTTTTTTTATTTATTTTTTTTTTATTTTATTTTTTAATCTTTCTCTCGCTTTCCTTTTTTTTTTTCTCCTCCTTTTTATATATCTCGTAATTTCTGTTTCGGGGACAGTCAATCTAGACAAGCAGCAGGTGCTGCAGATCGTGGAACGTCTGGAGAGGAGACTGAACGATAAGGGTGACCTGAGCCACCATGAGAAGATGTGTATCTTGCGGGACACCCTGAACAGTCCCCTGTTTAATCAAATACTGACTGTGCAGCAGTCCATTAAACAATTGAAAGAGCAGGTGAGTACCATATGATATTGTCTCTTTTAAATATTTACTTTTACTTTTAAAGCAATTCTAAACCACATTTTTTTTTATTTAGTTTTGTAACAAATAGGCTATGGTTGAACTTATCAGGTGTTTTTACTGTCTGTCCCTTTTTGGATAAAAGGATAAGTTCACCTTTCTAAAATAAATAAATAAATGCACATTTTGTGCACATAAAAAAGATCAGCTATTATTAATATCACCCAAACCGTACTCTCCGCTCCTCACACGACCTCCTGCTCTCTAGCTCCCTTGTCTCCTCCCCCCATGCTCGTCTCTAGGACTTCTCCAGAGCCTCCCCCATTCCTCTGGAACTCTACCCCAATTTATCAGACGATCGCCTACTCTGCTCACTTTTAGGCGATCTCTAAAAACCGATCTCTTCAGAGAAGCCTATCCTGCCCACAGCTAATAATGGAATCTTCTACTCCTCCTACCAGTCCATCCCCCACAGTTACTGCCTTTTGTACCACTAGTTCCTCACTCTTAGATTGTAAGCTCCCAGGATCAGGGTCCTCCTATCCCTCTTGTATTGAACTGTACTGTTGCTGTATTGTCTCCCGTTATATTGTAAAGCGCTGAGCAAACTGTTGGCGCCATATAAATCCTGTATAATAATAATAATTTATATTTGTTTAGGAGCCTGTAAAGCATTGCACCAGTGATTGGCAGATTGCAGGTGTATTCTCTGGCTCCTGCTGACTGTCAGTTTATTTGTCTGCTGGTACCTCATACGGGCAGGCAGTAAAAAAAAAAAAAATAAAAAAAAATAAAAGCTACCTCCATGAACTACCACAGCGCTTGCCAGCACCCTTGTAGTTCATTGAGAACTACAAGCCATCAGCCACAAAGGCTATCAGTACTTGTAGTTAATTCCTTTACAGATCTCTGTGAATGAATGATGCGGCCGTGTGGTCAGAGCCCTGTATAGCGGCTTTCTTTTCAAATTGTGACAGCAGGTGCTTGGAGAAGTTCCCTAGTCCGCTGTCACAATGGAGAAGGGGGTATCGGAAAGAGTCTGCAGGAGTGGGAACATGTTACATGTTCCCAAAGGTGAGTTTTTTACTTTTTTCTTCCTGTCTTTTATATACAACAGGAAGTGAGAGGAGATTTTAAAAGGAAAGCAAATCCTCTTAGACAGTTGTCACTGAAAGAAGTGTTACTATTGGAGGATTTAACCTCTATTCCTATTTAAGTAATTCTTACTTTCAGTCCCAGTGACAATGCTCATTAGGCGACTGACTGGGGACACTGACGGCAATAAAAACCCGACAAGGGTTATAACCCTTACTTTACCCAATAAGGATGATTTGCCTTTTAGATGCACTTTAACCGCATCCCTCAAGCCATATAGTATAATGACAGGCGCAAGGCGGTTCTCTCGTTCTGGGAAGACCTCATATGACGTTGTCCCATTCTAACCGCGCATGCGTGGCTCTGGGAGCGCACGGTGATCGGCAGTGCGCTGTGTCCCCCGGACACAGCGGATCAACGGAAAGAGCCGAAGATGTCCGGGCTCTTTCATGTGATCAGCTGTGTCCAATCACAGCTGATCGCATGTAAATCGGGAAATGCCGGTTATCGGCATTTCTCTCCTCACGAGCTGTCGTGCTGACAGAGGAGAGGAGAGCCGGTAAGCAGCATTCCTCGGAGGGGACATGTGCACTGATGATCTGTGTAGCCCCAGCAGTGCCACCTGTCAGTGTCCCATCAGTGCCAGCTGTCAGTGCTCATCCATGCCACCTGCCAGTGCCCATCAGTGCCACATCAATGCCACATATTCGTGCCTACCAGTGCACATCAATGCCACATATCAGTGCCTACTAGTGCACATCAATGCCACATATCGGTGCCCATCTGAGCTGCCTTTTAGTGCCACCCATCAGTGCTGCCTATCAGTGATGCCTGTCAATGCCCATCAGTGCCACGTATTAGTGTTCATCAGTGCAGCCTATCAGTACCCATCACTGCAGCCTCATTAGCGCACATCAGTGAAGTTAACAAACTAAGAAAAAGTGTTTGTTTTTTTTTTCCATTCTCAAAATTTTCAGTGGCTTTTGGTTTAAGAAAATATAAAAAACCCAGAGGTGATTAAATACCACCAAAATAAAGCTCTATCTGTCACTCAAAAAAAAATTCATATGGGTACAGTGTTGCACGACCGAGCAATTGTCATTCAAAGTGTGACAGCAATGAGAGCTGGAAATTGGCCTGGACAGGAAGGGGGTATAAGTGCCCTGTAGGCTAGCGGTTAAAATGGCAGTGTATGCTCCTTCTTTTTTTTTTTTTTATATATATTCTGAAATCTGCTTCCACTCCCTTTCAGTCCCAGTGACTATTCTGAGTACCCTATGAAAGGAAGATGCTTACTTGCCTATTCTCCGGTCACTCCAGTCCTGCTATGTGATCGCTCCCAGTGGCGGCTACAGGGGAAAGGAGGGGCAACGGATGCTCCATATGGGTAATGCCACCTTCCAGGCATTTCATCTGTTATTAGCCAACTTACTTGAAGCCGGATGCTGTGGAGATCATGTGACCAGACTGGAGTGTACGGAGAATAGGTAAGTATAACCATCTTTCTTTTATAGGGTAGTTAGACTAATGCCAGCCATACATGGGTCGAAATTCGACCAAAGTTTTGTCTGAAAATCGAACCTAAGAATAACCGGCAAATTTTCGCTCTGTTAGTGGGGTCAATGGCACCGGCCGATTTTTGTGTTTCCTCCCCTTTTCGGTGATCAGGGCATGTTGGAAAATTCGGGAAAAACAGCCGATTTTCGACTCGATGGTCAAATCGTACGATCGTTTTTCCGAAAAGAATATGCGCATGAGCCGTGACCTGGAAGGAACAGAAGTTTCGCCTGTTATATGGGGTGAACTTATGACTTGTTCGGCCGATTTTTTTTCTAAATCATTGATGGCGCCATCGGATTACCAAGCAAACAACGTTTTCGATTTTCGGACCAAAAATCGTTCGGCATTCGAACCATGTATGGCCTGCATAAGACTCAGATAGGGGTGGAAGCAGGTTTTAGCATTGTTAAAATATCCTCGAATTCCACTTCAAAGCCTAATTGAAATAAATACAGAAATCGATATGCAGCCAGATAGACATTGTAACCACACCTTCTGTGTTCATCGTTTTTACCTTTTTCCTGTTACTATAGTTGTGACGTCCCACGGAGTCAAAAGTCAGAGCTTTAATTGTCATCACTCAGCAATACACTGGGGGTTATTTACTAAAACTGCTAAACCAATCAGCTGCCAGGTTTCTTTGTCAAAGTTAATAGAACAAGCTGAAGCTAGAAGCTGATTGGCTAACATGCACAGCTGCACCAGATTCTTGAGTGCTCCAGTTTTAGTAAATCTCCCCCCAATGTATTACACAGACTCACTCTCTTCTACACTAATGCTGACCATACACTATACAATGTTTCTTACAATTTTCTGCCCAATTTCCTTTAGATTTACCTTCAACTATGTAATGCAATGGCTTGCCTAATTTGGATACAATTGAAAGTTTTTTTTTTTTTTTTTTTTTTTTTGTTTAGGTTTGACCTCCTATTTATATGGTTTTTGGTAAATCTAGAGCAAAATTCTCAAATTATTGTATAGTGTATGGCCAGCCTAAGTCTGTGTTAGGACAGGGGTGTGCCTATTTCTCAGCTCTGCCAGCAAAGAGCACTGCAGTACTGGGCCAGAAAGTAGCATTTTCACTGAAAGATATACTGTATTTTAGCCCGCCGGCGGTATTCCCGAGTGTAGCTCGGGGTTAACTTTCAGTATCAGAAGCGGTAACCCCGAGCTACACTCGGGAATACACTGCAGCGTTGCTCCGGGATCCCTTCTGCACTTACCTTGTCCTGCGCGCCCGTGATGTCCCTCCTGCAGCGTCCCCGGCCATCTCCTCCGGCCAATAGCGGCATCCGTCCTTTTGGTTTCCGTTCCCTGCGACGTCAGGACGGAACTGGCGGGAAATTCAAAAATTTTAAAAGTGACATTCACTCAATACACTAAAATCACATAGTATAACATTCCTGTATCCAACCATTTCACATACATTTTGTCCCGAGTGCTTTGTCCGGCGCCCCTGCCTGCATTTTTACTGTTCTTTCTGCCTGGAAACTGAGAAGCGTCCATGGCGTCCAAAAAGCGTCCCTTTAGGTCAGACGCGGTTTTAGACCGGCTAGAGAACAGCGATCGTAAATCAGAACCACTTGCAGAATTGAGTGATAATGTTTCGTGGGGGAAATTCCTCAACAGACACTGAAAACGATTCTGCGACTTTGCTCAGCGATGTGCGAACTTGGCGCTATATTTCAAATTTCAGTGTTTTTTGTTTGATTTTATTATTATATTATTTATGATTTTGTTTTCAAATTTTAACATACCCGGGATATTTACTAGACTCTTGTTCGGACAGATTTCAGTGAGTTATTCCTAAGAATTACAGGCCTACAATAAAAAAAACAATATTTCCATGCAAAAAAAGTACCGCTTTGAGCACAGAAATACTGACGTAATCAGATCACTAGGAAGCTTAATGCATTGCCAAGCAGAAGTCCGTCCCAAATCCTAATATGCGAGGGAAGAGGACTATAAGAAGATACTACATTTTTGGACTTCAGTTAGGCTTTAAACCACGGTTTATGAATTTCATACTTTTTTCCATATTTTTGGTATCATTTTAAATGTGTAAATGAACCACTAGAGGGAGCTCCCAGTGCAATTATTCTAGCTGTCTCTACGCATCCTCTTATGGGATTTGGGATACTCCGCATTCCCAGACTCTTGCCAGGAGGACAGTGACGTGTGTGGCTTGCCTAACTGGTAACCTGGCACCGTACAGAAAGCAGCATTCTTGGTAACGGCTGTACTGACAGGTTCTCTTTATGTGCATGCTTTTCTTTGCCAAATACAGCAGCATAGCTTTTTTTTTTTTTTTTTTTTTTCTCACATTTATTATTTTTAATTAATTTTGGCTTTGTTGCATTTGCCCAGCTGAACCGCATGCCAGCTGACCGTTCTGCGGAATTTGATTTCACCAAGAAAGGCTTATTGGTATTTCAAGCAGACTGTTCTTCCCACTTGGGAAACAAGACCGACTCTTTGTCCTTTGACAACTTTGTTACGTCTCGACTCGTCCAGGAGAACAAGAGAACCGATGACTTCGACAGGAAGATTCAGCAGATGGCCGCGGTAAGTGTAAGCCCGTCTGCTCAGCTGAAGTAGGTCACCGGCATCAGAACACTTTCTCTCTAACATATTCAGTGCAACTTCTATTGTTCAGTCAATGTGATCTTTATTAAAAAGAATTCCATTCTAATTATAAAAAAAAAAAAAAAAGCAGTAGTTAAAATGTCCTACTGTCACCAATTAACAATTTTAACTACTGTCCCTGCCTTGCTTGGGAGGGAAGTACATTCTATAAAGCAGATTTCCACTTATTTAATAGCTTGCCTAGGGGTTTTAAAAATAAAAAATTGCATCCTTGCCAAAATATTTACCTTGTCTGGAGCACTGTTCCTGCAAAAACTTCACTCCCTCCAATGGCCAGATGTCATTTAATGTGTGCCTAGGGTGCCATGGACAACCCCCCTAGGGCTGTGACTGGGCTCTCGTAGTACAATTCAGCACTTTCTGCCATCTTGAAGAATATCCACCATTGCCTTGGGTGGTGTGGGGATAGCAATAAGCCCCAGAGATGTCACATGACTGGCTAGAAAACCCCAGGGAAAAAGGGAAAAGACGTAAATGTAGATTTTTAACCACTTGCCGTCCGCCTGCTGTTTATAAACGGCAGGGCGGTGGCACTCCAGGGGCGGGTTGCCGTTCATAAACGGCACCCGCCTTTTCTAGCTGTGCGCGCTCCCTGGGAGCACGCAGCACCGCGATCCGGTGCCCGCTGTGTCCTCCGGACACAGTGAAACACTGATCGTCGGACGGGACCTCTCTACGAGGTCCCGATCATGTGATGTGATTGGCCAATCAATGATCACATGCAAAGTAGTAAGCAAGATGTCACTTGTGACATCATTGCTTACTACATGTGAAATCTGTGAATGATCACAGGTCACATGGTACAAGGCTATTCACAACAGCCTTGTACCATGTGACAAGCTTTGACCAATCACAGCTCACTGAGTACTTCTCAATGACTGCAAGAATGCAGACAGAGAGAAAGAGAAATGATTGCTTTTACATCCTATATGGGTGTAAAAGCAATCAGTGTAAAAAAAAAAAAAAAAAAAAAAACCTTTATCACCCCCCACACTGTACTGCTAGGGTGACAGTATGTAAAAAATAAAAAAAAATATATAAAAATGTAAAAAAAAAGTTTAAAAATTATAATTTTTGGTTTATAAACTAATTTGGATTTTTTTACTAAAAAAATAACGGAATAAATTTTGGCCAAGATTTATGATGACATTTATTTATTTGCAAAATTTTATAAAAAAAACAACACTTTTTTTCAAAATTTTTGGACGTTTTCATTTCCATAGCAAAAAAAATTAAAATCCCAGTGGTGAATAAATACCACCAAAATAAAGCTTTATCTGTCTCAAAAAAAAGTAAACTAAACCAATTCATATGGGTACAGTATTGCATGACCGCGCAATTGTCATTCAAAGTGTGATAGCGCTGAAAGCGGAAAATTGCCCTGGACAGGAAGGGGGGGAAAGTGTCCAGACAGGAAGTGGTTAATAAGCACCTGTGAAAGTGGGAGGCCTTTTTTTTTTTTAAATAGTGTAGAGTTCTGCTTTAGCCCTGGTTCACATCTATGCAGCCCCACCGGCCACGTTTTCGCACAGGCACGAGAGCCCATTCATTAGAATGGACGCCCGTGACACGCATGGAAGAAGTCCCTGCACTTCTGAAAACGCAGCCCGCACGGGAACCT